CCTCCCTCCATCCACCCCCACTACCTCCAGCCATCCGTCCCTCCCTCCATCTCCTTCCATCCCCATCCCTCCATCTGTCCCTCCTTCCCTCCCTCCATCCACCTCCAGCCATCTGTCCCTCACTCCATCCATCCCTCTCTCCTTCCCTCCCTCCATCCACCCCATCCACCTCCATCCCTCCTTCCCTCCATCAACCCCATCCATCCATCCCTCCTTCCATCCACCCCGATCCACCTCCATCCATCCGTCTCTCTTTCTATCCCTCCATCCACCTCCATACCCATCCAGCCTTCCCTCCCTCCATCCATCCATCCCTCCTTCCATCCACCCCATCCATCCCTCCTTCCATCCACCCCGATCCACCTCCATCCATCCATCTCTCCTTCTATCCCTCCATCCCCATCCATCCATCCATCCACCCCATCCATCTGTCCCTCACTCCATCCATCCCTCCCCCTACCCATCCATCCATCTGTCCCTCCCCATACCCATCCATCCATCCCTCCCTCCATCCCCGTCCCTCCCTCCATCCCCATCCATCCATCTATCCCTCACTCCATACCCATACCCATCCATCCCTTCCTCCCCATACCCATCCATCCATCTCCATACTTACCTATCCCTCTCTATCCGCACACTGGCTGTCTCTCCCCATATGCACCCATCATCCGTCTGTCTCAGTGACTTTCTCCCTTGGGATCCACAGACCATGGCTAGGGATTTCCAAAGGGCTCTGCACCTCCATTCGAAATGTTTAGGGTCCACAAATGAAACTGGTCTAGCATATCCCTTGAACACGCACTCACAGCTCTTTGTGTTTCACACTCTTCTATCGATCTGACTCCTGGGTTCTCGCCCTGGCTCTGGCAGGGGAGTGGGGTCTAGTGGTTAGAGCGGGGGGTGGGGGAGACTGGGAGCCAGGACTCCCAGTCTCCTGGGTAGGGAGTGAGGTGGGGAAGGGCACCCCCAGCCCCTTTGCAGCTCCTTCCATCTCGCCGGCCCCTCTCCAGGCGGAGGCAGCGAGCCACCAAGCAGGGCAAACACCCACCCCGGCAGCTGCACCCTGGAAAGGGGGGGTCGCAGGGGCCCCTGCGCTTTAGGCCACAGGCAGAGCGAGGACTCCAGCGGCTCCTACCGGAGATTGGCCATGCCCAGCCCCGCCGACTCCTCCCCTCCCGTTTTGTTTTATAACCACACGGCTCTATAAATACATATAAATATATAGATCTATAATTTTCTAACCCCTGAGAGGCAGAGCCGGGGCTGAGCTGCCCCTCCTTCTCCCCCCCCCCAATGGAATGACTTAAAAATATGTCTCCGTGTCTCTCCCCCATCAGCACAAATTCACTCCTCCTCCCTCCCGGGTTGGCGGAGACCCTGGTGCTGCTGGGTCCTGGTTGGGAAAGGGGGGGAGGGGACTGGTGTGGGGACAGGGGCGGGGTGCGTGTGTGTCTGTCAAACTCAACCCCTGTCCCCTGCTGTTGACATGTAACTTCCCTGGTGTTGTACAGATGAAACTGATTAAAAACCGTGGATGCGTATTTATTAGGTGTGTTATGGTAGCTCTGGGCACCCAGCCCTGGCCTGGGATCCCCCTGCGCTAGGTGCTGTATATTGTGTATTAGGTGTATTTCAGTAGTTCCAGGTGCCCTGCCATGGCCTGGGATCCCCCTGCACTAGGAGCTGTACATTGTGTATTAGGTGTATTACGGTAGTTCTAGGTGCCCTGCCATGGCCTGGGATCCCCCTGCACTAGGTGCTGTACATTGTGTATTATGGTAGTTCTAGGTGCCCAGCCCTGGCCTGGGATTCCCCCTGTGCTAGGCGCTGTACAAACCCAAACAAAGAGAAGGTTCTTGCCCCGAAGAGCTGACAGTCTCAGTATAAGATGAGACTCCAGCTGGAGACAGACAGGCGGCTGGGGGAGCAGAATGGAACAATGGGACAATATTTGTCCCTGTGGACAGGTGCCCCCCCACGATGCCCCCGTGTGGCCAGAGTGGTACTGCAGGCACCTTGCCTCAGTTTCCCTCTGTCTTCCTGGAACATTTCACCCACAACTAGTCTTTAAAACACCCTTCCCCCTCCGGTGGGGTCTAATTCATTCTGATTCATTTGTGCCCCTGTTAGATTCTGGGGTGCACAGCCCTCCTTGGGTGGCCATGTGGTCCCACTCCGGACCTCCCCAGCTTGTGGGCTCACCCCCAAGGTTCAGGGGCCCACAGCCCTCCTTCCTGGGGGGCCGTGTCCCAGCTCAGATCTTCCTCCAGGAGCTCTGTTGATGAGTGGGGATCCCCCGGTCCCCTGGCTCAGCCCAGGACCTTCCCCGGGTGGGTCTGAGACCCCCAAGTCCCTGCCTGGGGAGGCTGGCAGTGGAGGCCACCTATCCCTGCCCAATTCACAAGACATCTGGGCCCAGGTCCTGCAAATGGATATAAATTGGCCATCAGGAAGTTTAGACTTGAAATTAGACGAAGGTTTCTAACCATCAGAGGAGTGAAGTTCTAGAACAGCCTTCCAAGGGGAGCAGTGGGGGCAAGAGACCTATCTGCCTTCAAGACTAAGCTTGATAAGTTTATGGAGGGGATGATATGATGGGATAGCCTCATTTTGGCAATGAATTGATATTTGACTATTAGCGGTAGATGCCCAATGGTCTGTGATGGGCTGTTAGATGGGCTGGGATCTGAGTTACTACAGATAATTCGTTCCTGGGTGCTGGCTGGTGAGTCTTGCCCACATGCTCAGGGTTTAGCCGATCGCCATATTTGGGGTCAGGAAGGAATTTTCCTCCAGGGCAGATTGGCAGAGGCCCTGGGGTTTTTTTCGCCTTCCTCTGAAGCGTGGAGCACTTGCTGGAGGGTTCTCTGCACCTTGAGGTCTTTAAACCACGAGTTGAGGACTTCAATAACTCAGACATAGGTCAGGGGTTTGTTACAGCAGTGGGTGGGTGAGATTCTGGGGCCTGCGCTGTGCAGGAGGTCAGACTAGATGATCATAATGGTCCCTTCTGACCTTAAAGTCTGTGAATCTATAAGTCCTAGGGGTCTGTCACTGTCCCCTTGCCGGATACAGACTGTCCTGGTTTCCTATCACCCCCGGGCTGGGGTAACTGACCCCCACCCCGAAGCCCCATTACTGGGGGCGCGCTCAGCATCCCAGCTGCCCGGAGAGGGATGAGGAGGCAGCTTTGCGGCTGGCTGTGGCCCCCCAGCCCAGACGGCACCATGGCACCGTGCCTGGTACGACGAGGCCGGGGAAGGTCGGACAGGCGGCAAAGGGCTGAATCCACAGCAAGGCGGCGTGAGGTTGGACACTTGGGAACTTTCAGGCTCTGGGGGCGGCTCCGCTCCGGAACAGGCTCCAGGAGGGTCCCCGTCACCGGAGGGATTTAGACGGGTCAGGCAAGCCCCTGTCCGGGATGGGTGCACTTGACCCTGCCTCAGTTTGGAGTGCAGGAGGGGGGTGATGCCCCCTCGAGGCCCCATCCAGCTCCACGGTGCCTGGCTCACGCCAAGGGGGGAGACGCAGCAGATGGACAGGCTCTGTCCTACCGCAGGAGAAGGAGCCAGCGGTGGAGGGGCTGTGAGCGTATGGGGGGGAGGCCTGGTTTCCCGCGGCATCCCGGGCTGAGCCCTGGGGGCCGTTCTCTGCTCTCAGCCACCCCATTGGGGGTCCCCCTCATTGGAGCCCCCTGGTGGTTGGGGGGGGGGGGCTGCTGCACCGAAGTGTTGGCTTGGCCCTGCCTCAGCGCGGGGGACTGGTGTTGAGTGAGATCCCCTCCGGCCCGAGGTGTCGGATTCAGTGTCAGCGCCCGCTCCCCAAACCCAGCCACCAAAATGAGTCCGAAGGATCCCAGCCCCCCCCCGGAGACCCAGCCATGCTGTGCTGCCAAGGCCCATACCAGGGTGAGGAGTGAGGTGGGACTTGCCACTGCCAGGGGGCGGGCGATGCGGTGACCCCGAGGGGCTCGGAGAACTGGCTTCGCGGCAGTGTCCTGGAGCAAGTTGGCATCAGGGCCGGCCGGGCACCGGGGAGGGAGGATGGGCCGTGGGGATTGCAGAGACGTGGGACCCCATTGACGCAGCCCGGCTGGGAGGCTCTGGAGAGGGGTCCGAGCCGCAGGTTAAGGGTCCTGGGGCAGGGAGGCTGGGGGTGCTGGCCGCAGAGATGGTGACAGGAGAGCTTGGGGGGAAGACGGGTGAACTGGGGCTCCCTCTGGTGGGGGTGGGGAACGTGGAAATCACAGCAAGGGCCCATCTACCCTGGTATCCTGGCTCCCAACGGGCATTGGAAGAAGCTGCAAGGGACCCTGCGGTTCTGGCCCAACGGGCCCCATGCTCTGGGTAGGGAGGGGGGGCTGGGAGCCAGGACTCCTGGGTTCTATCCCCGGCTCTCGGTCTAGTGGTGGGGCCTGGGGTGGGGAGGAGCCTGGGAGGCCGGACTCCTGGGTTCCCTTCCCTGTCTCCCTGTGGGGCCAGTCCCCTCCCCCGGAGCAGTGCAGAACACGCCTGTGCCCACGCCAGTTTTCTGAGCTCTGCCCCGAGGCTTTGGTTGCCCCCTGTGGTTCCCAAAGTGCAGTGCGGCCCTTGAGCGCCCCGGGAGAGGGGCAGCCCCCGCCCCCGGCACAGTGCGGGTGACGTGGGCCTGGTGCTGCTCCCTGAGCATCAGCCGCTGGCATTGTGGGGGTCAGCAACCCCACACTGCCAGGGGGCCTCCAATGGGGGGCCCCCCAGGGTGGGGTGGCCGAGAGCAGAGCGTGGGCCCGGGGGGCTCTGCGAGGATCCAGCACCTCTCGGGGCAATCGCTGCTCCCCGGGCACCGCGCTGGGCCATGCTTCTGGCTACTGCGGCCCCCAGACTCCCGAAGGCTTGGGGGGGGGGGCGGGATGCTGCAGGAAGCCAGGCCTCCCCCGCCATCCGCTCGCATCCCCTAGCCACTCCCACGTGTTGGCATCGCGGGAGGCAACAAGCAGAGAACGGGCGAGGCCAAGCTGCCACCCGTGCCCAAGGCACCGGCCGTGGCAAGGAACTGATTAGATGAGAGATGCCCAGATGGTGCCAGTAGGCGACACCCCCACCATGTGTAGGTGAACCCCCTCCCCACAAAAAATGTGTTCCTTCCCTGCCCCCAAATCTAGCCATCAGCAGAGCTCTTTGTAGTCACGGCCCTGCACCCGAGCCCGGCTCTTCTTGCTCAGTGAGCTCGCGGGGCCGGGCCCAGCTCTGGTAGCTTGGAGGGTAGGAGACTCGGGACACCTCGGACGTGCCAGGGGCCACGGCCCACTTGGCTGGCGTGTTGGCCGGCCCAGCGAGGTGCAATGAGCGTCTTCCGGCCTCAAACCACCGCTCCAAAGGCAGCTGCAACCCACCCCCTGAACCCCAGCGCATCTCACGGCTGACGTCTTTCCCTCGCGCCCGCCGGCCACTCCCCGGCGAGCAGAGACAGCCACACAGTGTGATCTGCCAACGGGATTTAATAGAAGGGCTCCGGGGATGGATCCGTGAGGCTGAAACTATCCCAGGCACCTGCTACAAGCAGAGAGATCCCGCCCACGGCCAGGGAATTCGGCCCCCACCCGCCCACAGCCACCGGTAACTCCCCCGGCGGTGTCCGCCTTCCACGGGCCGAGGGGAAGCCTCGCTGGTACCAGGCCCATGCGCTGCGACGGGACAAGGCGAGGGGCACGTGGCTGTTGGGACCAGAGAGGGACTTCATGGTGGCACGAACAGCTGGTGACGTGGGCGACAAACGCGATGCTGAGTTCTGCTATGCCCGGCGTCTCCCCAAGGGAGCTGGAGCTGGTGCCTTCAGAAACTCCCAGCCTAGATGTAGGGGCCACGTGGGTCCTCCCAGGCCAGAGAATTGCCACTCCAAGCTCCCTGCAGCCAGCCCATATCTGATCGTCGAGCTAGCGCCAAGCTTGATTTAGCGCCTCCTGCTGGTGGAGATGCCACCCTCTCCTCTGATTAGCTGCTCCAGTTCTGAATTCCCCCCACCCTGTGAAAAACGCGCCCCTTATTTCAGCCCAGCGGCGCCAAGGTATTTCAGCTGTTCTTGCCCATCGGCCTCACTTTACACGTGAGCCAGTTCTGAGGGTCACAGTTTCAAGTAGGCGCAGAGTTTTATCCCTGGATCTGGCCCTGCGGGCGACCACTGCTGAGATCCTGTGTCCAGTTCTGGTGCCACCATTCAGGAAGGATGGTGATGAATCGGAGAGGGGTCAGAGCAGAGCCCGGAGAACGGCTAAAGGGTGAGAAAACCCGCCTGAGAGGGAGAGACTCCAGGAGCTCGATCTTGTTAGCTTCACAGAGAGAAGAGGGGTGACTTGTTCCCTGGCGATCAGTACCTCCTTGGGGAACAAATATATACTAACTGGCTCTTCAGTCTAGCAGAGGAAGGTCTAACACCGTCCAATGGTTGGAAGCTAACGCTAGACAAATTCCAACCGGAAAATAAGGAGTACATTTTCAATGGTGAGTGTAATTAACCCTCAGAACAATTCCCCCAGCGTCATGGCGGATTCTCCATCACCGACAATTGTTAAATCCAGATTGGCTGGTTTTCTAACAGCTGCTCTGGGGAGTCTTTCGGGGCAGGTCTCTGGCCTGGGGCTCTACGCGGGGGTCAGATTCGCTGATCACAGACGTCAGTTCTGGCCTTGGAATCTACAAAAACCTCCCGGAGAAAAAGGTGTGTGTGTGGGGGGGGAAATCACAAAAAAACGTGCCACGCGCGTGGGAAATGTTTGCCGTGCCGGTGAAAAATACTCACCAACTGTGCACTGCTGTGGTTTTCTTCCACCCCCCAAAAAGTGAAAAGCCAAGCTTTAAATGACTCACAGGTGCCAGTCAAACACGTGTACAGGGTGCTGCAGTGTCAGGAGGAGGAGCTCACCCAAACGGTCTCCACCATGGCTGGAAATTTGAACAGTTGGTCAGTATTGGTTCTTCCGATATCTATGGAAATGAAGATCAGGCTGAATTTGTGTGTTGTCTCGAAGGAGCTGCATAATACCCCCTACGGCACAACCAGTGAGCCCAGTGGAAAAGCAAAGATTTTGCAAGAGCGAGGTTCCAGGATGTGAAGACCATATTGAACACTGAAGAGTATTTCTTTTCTTCCAAGATGCAGTGAATTATCACATTGAAGAGGCTTGGCTGGGAGAGGAAGAAATCTGCTTTAGATAATTTTCTGTTGATACTCGAGATTCCCCCGTTTTTGCATCCCATGATCGCATTAGGTCTTTTGGCCACAGCATGGGCACCGTGAGCTCCCGTTCTGCTGATTATCCACCACGCCCCCCCCCGCATCCTTGTCAGAGTCGCTGCTCCCCAGGAGAGGGTCCCCCAGCCCGCACGCATGGCCGACATCTCTGTTCCTAGCTGGATACATTGGCATTTAGCCGTATTTAAACGCAGCTTATTTGCTCGAGCCCAGTTTACCAAGCGATCCAGATCAGTGACCTGGATCAGTGACGTGGCCTCTTCGGTACTCCTGCCATTTTTAGTTCACCCGCAAACTTGCTGGGCGATGATTTTATGTTTTCTCCCAGGCCGTTGATAAAACCGGTAAATAGCGTCGGGCCGAGAACGGGTCCCCGAGGGACCCCGCTGGAAACGCACCCGCTCGATGATGCGTCCCCAATAACCGTTACCTTTTGAGCTCTATCAGTTAGCCAGTTTTTAAGCCATTTATTGTGGGCCACGTTTATTGGGCACCATTCTAGTTTCTTAATCAAAATGTCGTGCGGTACCAAGTCAAAATATTATATCAAAACTATGACCTTTATCAACCAAACTTGTAATCTCTGGAGAATTGGGGGGAAACTGATTTGTTTTGCGGGTTATTTTCCACCTTGTGGAGCAGAAATGGCCCCACAATGTTTTATAGCGGGTGGGAGACGTTCTGGTTATTTTTGAGGTTTTGGGTTGGAAAAAAATTCATCCCACAAAGGTGAAAAACAATGTGGTGAAAACTGGGTGGGTGAACACTTCCCCCAACCGCGCTCCAGAGCATCTCACGGCAGGACGTACGTGCGGGGGAGATCTCTGCTAGCAGAGGATTTGGCTGGGGCATTTTCACTCTCAGCCCAGTGCCACACCGCCTGGCCATGCCACGGCCTCCCCGACTGCTCCACATGCCAACGACTCCGCGCTCACCCCAGCGGCGGGTGCACGGCCCGGAGGTGCCGGACCACCCACCGGCGCTCCTGGAAGCTCTTTCCGCACATGGCGCAGCGGTGGGGGCGCTCCCCCGAGTGCACCCGCCGGTGCTTGGCGAAGTTGGAGGCGTTGTTGAAGCTCTTGGGGCAGACGGGGCAGCGGAAGGGGCGCTCGCCCGTGTGGATGCGCTGGTGGGTGGACAGGGCCGAGGACTGGGTGAAGCGCTTGCTGCAGACCCCGCAGGCGAAGGGGCGCTCGCCCGTGTGCACCCGCAGGTGCTCCTTCAGGTCCGTGGCCCGCTTGAAACGCTTGGAGCACACGAAGCAGATGTATTGCCGGGCATCGGGCAGGGGGGCGGGCGGCCTGCCACGTGAGGAATGGGCATTGGGGCTCGGGCACCAGGGAGTGGCATGGACCGGCTTGCCCTGTCCAGGAACAGCAGGGCTAAGGCCCCAGGGAGGGGCATGGACTGGCACACCCAGCTCGTGGGCATCAGGGCTTGGGCACAATTGGGGCGCCCGGTCCAGCTTTTCCAGCAAGAAGCAGTGAGCACAACCACCCTCCTCTTCCTCAGCCGCTCTTCCTCCGTCGCCAGCTTCCCCGCAGCCCGAGTCACCGGGGGACAGCCGGGCACCCGTGCCAGGGACAGGGGAGCCCTGCTCTGCGTCTCGCTCCACTGCCAGACACCGCCATGCCCCGGGGCACCGGCTTTCCGCCAGCCCCACCGCCGCCGGGCACACACCGTTAGCCAGGAAGTCAGGCCTGGGGCCTTTGGCAGAGGACCCCAGGGGCACCCACGTTAGTGCCAGCCCCTTGGCGTCACCACCGCTGTCTCGCGCCAGGTCCTTGGCACCCCCACCAGTGTCCCGCTGGCTCAGGGGGACGGGGGGGCAGCCGATTTCGCTGCCCAGGGGCTGGGCGTGGATGCGCTGGTGCTTCTTGAAGTTGGAGGCGTTGTTGAAGCTCTTGGCGCAGACGGGGCAGCGGAAGGGGCGCTCGCCCGTGTGGATGCGCATGTGGCCGGTCAGCACTGAGGACTGGGTGAAACGCTTGCCGCACACCCGGCAGCGGTAGGGGCGCTCGCCTGTGTGCACCCGCTCGTGGTCCCGCCGGTCCGAGGAGCGCTTGAAGTGCTTGGGGCAGAAAGAGCAGGCATAGGGCTTAGCCGGGGGGGCGGTGTCCCGCCCAGTGCGGGGCTGTGGGGCCGATGCCGGCAGGGAGGGCTGGGCAAGGACCGGGCGTGGCCCCAGGTGGGCGTGGCAGCGGGTGACAAGGCCACTGGTCCCCTCCTGGCACAGCGGCTCCAAGACGTACTCGGGGCACCCACTTCCTTCCTCCTCCTCTTCCTCCTTCACCCTCACCACCTGGATCTCCAGGGGCTCCCCCGCCAGCCTGCGCTGCCCCCTCATGGTGGCTGGGGTCTCCGGGCTGCTTCCCAACCCCTGCGGGAAAGAGGGAAAGGAAGGGTGTAAACTCAAGGGAGAGACAAATGGGGATGGGAATAGAACCCAGGAGTCCTGGCTCCCCCCGGCTCTACCCACTGGCCCCCACTCCCCTCCCAGAGCCAGGGAGAGAACCCAGGAGTCCTGGCTCCCAGCCCCCCCCGCTCTACCCACTGGCCCCCACTCCCCTCCCAGAGCCAGGGAGAGAACCCAGGCGTCTTGGCTCCAGCCCTTCAAGTGAATCTGCTGGATGTTGGGGGGGGCTGGCATTGAGGACGGCTGCCCCCCCCCCCCCGGGGGCCCACAGGGAGCAGCTGGGCTCGGCGCTGGGTCCCGCACGGAGCAGGGGGGGCAGGGGGCTGCCTGGGGGGGCAGGGTCCCCCCCAGCTGGAGTCTCCCCCTGGCCCATTTAACCCCCGAGTGGCCGGGGGGGATCCCCAGCCCCATGCACCGCCCTCCCCTCCCTTTGTCCCCTCGCCCCCTCACCTGGCCTGGCTCAGCACCGCCCCCGGCCTCCCCCAGCCCCGGGCCGCCCCGCCCCTTTAAGGGCCCAAATCCCGGGATTTAAAGGGGAGGGCGGCGGAGATTTTCGTGTCCGGCCTTTCTTGCCTGCGGTCAAAAAATCAAAGCTGGGTTGTTTTTCTTTCAAGAGACAAGGCGGGGGGGGGGTCCCCCCCCGGCTTCCCCTGCCCCCACCGCCAGCAGCGAAGGAACAGATCCCCCCCCCCCCCCGAGGTTGGGCTGTGAAGGGCGAACCCAAGAGTCCTGACTTCCTCCCCCCAGCAACCACCCCCTCCCAGAGCCAGGGAGAGAACCCAGGAGTCCTGGCTCCCAGCCCCCCGGCTCTAATCACTAGACCCCACTCAAGATGCATTCAAGGTGCAGAGCCTGACCTGTAACCCTTACCCCCGACACCCCCAAAACTCCCACCATCGCCACCAGAACCCCCACCCCCATCAACAGTTCCCCCCACAGCACCCTGGGGCGCAGCAGCATCACCTCAGTGAGGAAGGGAAACCGAGGCACAAGGAGGGCAAAGGTCAGATATCCCAGAGTCCCATGGGGCCTGGAGCCACATTCAGCACCACCCTCAGGGCTCTTCTCCAAGCCAGATATTCTCGGTGGTGAAATGAACATTCAGCCACCCAGGTGGGCACAGTGTGGCCAAGGCCTGGGCAGAGAACCCAGGAGTCCTGGCCCCCAGCCCCCCCCCCTGCTCTAATCACTAGCCCTCACTCCCTTCCCAGAGCCAGGGAGAGAAGCCAGGAGTCCTTGCTGCCAGCCCTCCCTGCTCTAACCACAAGCCCCCACTCCCCTCCCAGAGCCAGGGAGAGAACCCAGGAATCCTGGCCCGCAGCCCCCCCTGCTCTAACTACTAGACCCCACTCCCCTCCCAGAGCCTGAGAGAGAACCCAGGAGTCCTGGCTCCCAGCCCCCCTCGCCCGTCCCCCGTTCTAAGCCACCAGACCTTAGGGGGGGTCTATGGGAGAACCAACATCCAAACCCAGCTCACCTTTAAGGCCGCCAATGAGCCAGGCCAATGGCTCCCTCAGTGGCTGGCGCACACACAGGGTGTGTCTACACAACACACACAGCCTGCTCTGACTCACATTTGAGCTGAAGCCCTCACACAAATCAGCCCGATCAGCCCGCACTCGGGACTTGGCTCCCAGGGCCCCGCTAGGGGGGTGGGGCAGAGCCCACGTTCTGCTGAGCCGCAGAGCCAAACCCTCTTTCTGCAGTGCGGACGCAGCTGTAAACCCAGGTTTCCAATTCAGTGTGGACGCGCAGGCACGGGCTTGGCCACACCAAGTCCCAAAGACCCGCGTACACAGTGCAGTGTGGACGTACCTTAATTGGCCCAGACATATGAGGGTCTGGGCCAGAGATCCTACCAGGTAACAAAACCCATCATTTCTGGCAGGACGTTTTGAAAACCTGTCTTCTTTTTATCAAAATCCCCTGCTAAATTTTTTGAGGGAGCTGCCCCCCAAAAAAACCAACCAACCAACACACACCTGAAAAAATGGCAGTCTTTGAAAACCATTTTTGATGCAAATGACCAGATCTTGGTTCAAACAAATTCTGGTGCAAAAATTCTGGTTGTCAAAATGTTTGGGTCTTGAAAACCGACTGGGTAAACAATTTAGTTGGTTTGTTTCTGGTCATAAGTTTCACCTTTCGAATATTTTGGATGTTTGGCGAAAGGTTTTGGGGTTTTGTTTAAGAAAACGGTTGGTTAAAACATGTCGGTTTTTCAGCAAAAGTTTTCTTGCTGTTGGGAAAACATTTTTAGTAAAATGATAGTAAAAAAAATTTCAGGGTTGGAAAAAAAATGGATTAAAAATTGGGAAAAATGTGTGTTTCTGCTAAAAAAAAATTGCAACTATTTTTTATTTGAATAATGTGATTTGCAGTGAAAATTTTTAGTTTCAAAAACTTTTTTTCTAAAAGTATGTTCAGTTTAGAAAATGGATTTTTTGATAAAAAGTTTTGGGATTTTAAACACGATTTTCAGTTGAAACAAACTGGGGTTTCAAAATGCATCTTCAGTCAAATAAATTGGTTTTTAAACCACATTCTCCGTCCATTTCTTTTGCTTTTGGTAGGAACGTTGGATTCTCAAAACCCCCAAACTTTTAATGAAAAACTGAAGATTTTCACCCCCAAAATGCCAGTTTTCTTGGTCCAAACACCTGGTAAAAAAAAGGGTTTTGCTGGAAAATAACTGGTGAGACATGCGTGGTAAATAGCCGCTTGGGACCCAAAGCTGTATCTTGCCTGATGTAATTTTTGGTACCAAACCAGCCCCCTAGCTTCCCTCCAGCAATGAACTGGACTCTCCTCTCCCCTCCCCCCCCCCCGGCCCCGCCCCTGCCGCTGCTGGAAATCAAACCCCAGGCCCGACACTTCATTCCACACACACAAAAACAACCAAAAAAAAGTGTTTTAATTAATAATAATAATTAAAAAACCAAGATAACGAAGATTCCACCGTAAATCGGAGCTGTGGAGAGGGAGCAGGTGGCCAGGCCGGGCACCTTGGAGTGATCTGGGCTTGATGGCCTGTGGGTCCAGTTCTGTCGTTGGATTTCCTTCTCCGGGGCGATTGGGAGGTGGGGAGTCCTTGGGGGGGCGTCCCACTCCCCTGCCTCCACCTGCAGCTATTTGGGGGCGCCAGACCGAAAAACACAATGTGAAGATTGGTCCCAGTGCATGGTGGGCCTTCCGTGATGGTCCTCAGCCGTTGGTCGCTGTTTGAGGCAGGATACCAGGGCAGATGGGCCTCTGGGACTGATCCGGGGGCAGGGAGGGGGTGGAATACCAGGTTAGATAGGCCAGTGGGGCTGCTCCAGGGAGCAGGAGAGGGCCGGATACTGGGTAGATGGGCCATCAGGAGCAATATGAGACTATTTCTAGGGAATGTAGAGTCACCGCGACACTCTATGGGGGTGGCCAGGACAACCCCCCTCCTCCCCCCAACCACTGGCTGTAGGACTAAGCTATCTGTCCCTAGAGGGGACAGGCCCCATGCCACATTCCCTGCCCCTCTGAGCCAGCCAGTCCCTGCCCTGGGGCCAGATGGGAGCTGAAGCCCCCTAGAGGGGAAAGGCCCTGGGCCCCATTCCCTGCCCCCTGAGCCAGCCAGTCCCTGCCCTGGGGCTGGATGGGAGCCAGCGCCCCCTAGAGGGGAAAGGCCTTATGCCCCATTCCCTGCCCCCTAGTGAATTACCACCGATAAGTCCCGTATTTACCCGAGTGCTCCAGGACCCACATGGGCTCGGATTGACCTGATCCAAGCTGCCCTGCCCTATCTGCGAGGGGCAGCCTGTCATGGGGCGCCGTGGGGGGCATCTGTGAGGAGGCCAATGCCTTGGGCTAGGGCACGGGGGGCTGCCCACAGGGATACAGGGCACGCCTCCCTCCCCTAGACAGGGTGTGGGGGTACAGTAGACCCATGTGGGGACAAGGGTTGCTACATGGCTAACCCATGGGGAGTTGCCAGTCCGGCTCCGGGGCTCCCCGTGCCCATCAGGTCGGCGCCGGTCCGGCTCCGGGGCTCCCCGTGCCCGTCAGGGCGTGGGCGGCTGCTGGCGGTGCTTGCGCCGGATGTGCCGCTGGAGTGTGTTGCGCTCGCCAAAGCGCATGTGGCAGTCCTCGCACTGGAAGGGGCGCTCGCCTGTGTGCACGCGCTGGTGGTGGGCCAGCTCGCCGGCGTCGCGGAAGCTGCGCTGGCAGATGGGGCACTGGTGGGGCTTGCGCCCGGCGTGGGTGTACTTGTGCCGCTCCAGGTGGGACGTGCGCTTGAAGGCCTTGCCGCAGGCCCGGCAGACGTGGGGCTTGTGCTCCGAGTGGGTGATGCTGTGCCGCTGCAGATAGGAAAGGTACTCGAAGGTGCGGGAGCACACGGGGCAGCAGTACACCTTCCGCAGCCCCGCTCGCTCGCCCGCCGCGCCCGCCTCCTCCACCAGCACCGTGTAGGGCAGCCCCTGGCTGTCGATCAGCAGGTAGCGGCCGTAGCGCGCGGCCTCGCCCTGCTCCGGCCCAGCCTCCCCAGGGCCAGGGGGCCAGGGTGGGGCCCGGGGGGCCCGCGGCCGCCCAGCCTCCTCGTCCTCCTCCAGTTTGAGCCGGCGCCCGGATGGCTCCTCCCGGGCCGGGGGCTGGTGCCGGGGGTCAGCGGTTCCGTCCCTGGGGGGGCGCGGGCCGAAGGGATGGAGATCCATGGGGCGGGCGGCGCCCCCCGCTGGCGGGACCTGTTCAGAGCGTCTGGAAGGAGAAACGGGGGGGATGGGAGGGGAACGATCAGGTGTGTGTCATAGACCCCGCACCACGTACAGGAGTCTCCGAGGGCTTGGGGCAGGGGCGAGAATGGGGCCTTTTCCCTCTGGGGGGGCGCGGGCTCCCATTCAGCCCCTGGAGGTTTCTGGGTCCCAGCTCGGTTCTCGGTGGGAGAAGTGGCCTCCCACTTCACCCCATGGCCACCCACTGGCCCCTGACCCCCCCTCACTGCCCCAGTGTTCCCGTGCCACCACCTGCTACCACCCACTGCCCCTCACCCCCACTGCTCCCTCCTAGCCCCCTGCCGCCCCAGCACACCCCCACCCCTGCCATCCTCCACTGCCCCTGGCACCGCCCCCCTGGGGGGGTTAATTTACCTTCCCAGGTACCTGTGCCCAGTGTCCCGTCCCCGGGCTCATCGCGGCTCTGGTGCCCACATGGCCGGCCGGGCCAGCGCCGGGCACGGTGCCCTCAGCTCATGGTAGCGCTGGGGCCGGCTCCGAGCCGGGCCCGGGGAGGGATCCACCTGGGGGGGGCGGCACAGGTCCGGTCCAGGCTGGGGGCGGTACCGGTCCAAACCCGGCTGGATTTGGTGGTACCGGTCCGGTCCAGACTGAGGGGGACGGAACCGATCCGGAACCGCCTGGGGGTGAGCGGCACAGGTCCGGTCCCGGCTGTGGGGGCGATACAGGTCCGGTCCAGGCTGGGGGGGCGGCACCGGTCCGATCCGGTCCAGGCGTGGGGGGGGGCGGCACCGGTCCAGGCTCTACGCGCCCGGCGCCCCCCTGCGCCCCGGGGCCATGTGCCGCCCCCTGCGGGCTCTGGCGCCCTGTGACGGCCCCGGCGTGGGGGGGGTCGGGGGGGGGTCCCGTCTGTCTCTGTCCGTCCGTCCCTCCACCCGCAGCAGGAGCCGGTGTCGCTGCAAAAGCCGACCGGGTGGAAACGCCGCGCTCCAATCCGGCCCCGGACGCCTGGGTTCCGAGCGAGACGGGGGGGCGGCAGATACCCCCCTCCCCCCACCTCAACCCCCGAGGGAAAACCCAGCCACAGACCGACCTGGGGGGATGTCTGACCCCAGGCAACTCCTCGCACGCCGCCTGTATCCGGCCGTCTGCATACACCGCCCAGAGCCGAAGAGAACCCACGCGTCCTGGCTCCCAGTCCCCTCTAACCACTAGACCCCACTCCCCTCCCAGAGCCAGGGGGAGAACCCAGGCGTCCTGGCTCCTAGCCCCCTCTAACCATTAGACGCCACTCCCCTCCCAGAGTCAGGGGGAGAACCCAGGCGTCCTGGCTCCTAACCCCCTCTAACCACTAGACCCCACTCCCCTCCCAGAGTCAGGGGGAGAACCCAGGCGTCCTGGCTCCCTGCCCCCTCTAACCACTAGAGCCCACTCCCCTCCCAGACCCAGAGGGAGAACCCAGGCATCCTGGCTCCCTGCCCCCCCACTCTAACCACTAATTGAATGAATCGCATTATCCCTATTTCCCCCCTTTTCTCTTTAGGGTATTTTCTCACTTCCCCACACTGCTGGGAGGCGGGGGGCCTTGGACAGCAGCTGCCCAGTGGGACCTGTGCTGACTGCTCTCCAATTCACCTCACTAGTTAGGGCAGGGGGTCTCAAACTGGGGGTCGGGACCCCTCAGGGGGTTCTGAGGTTATTACATGGGAGTCGCGAGCTGTCAGCCTCCACCCCAACCCCGCTTTGCCTCCATGTGAAAGGGGTCACCAGGACAGAAGTTTGAGAACCACTGAGTTAGGGTGTCTGTCAGAGCAGAACAATGAGCTGGATTGGGGCCAGCGCCCCCTAGAGGGGAAAGGCCATGTGCCCCATTCCCTCACCGCCCCAAGCCAGCCAGTCCCTGCCCTGGTTTTTCTGGGCCAATCTCCCCTTTGTGTGGTTGGTTGCTCAGAAGGGTTTTTGTGGAGAGATTGGTCTGTACACACACACAGAGCAGGGCCCAGCCCCTCCAGCAGGGGGAGACACACGCACACAGATTTCAGAGTAGCAGCCGTGTTAGTCTGTATCCGCAAAAAAATCAGGAGTACTTGTGGCACCTTAGAGACTAACAAATTTATTAGAGCATAAGCTTTCGTGGACTACAGCCCACTTCTTCGGATGCATATAGATACACACAGAGATACTCCATGTTGGACTAGTTTGCTCTTGTAACTTTAATAGTGTTTCTTGTAGAAGCCACCAGCTCCCCTTTCCCCCTAGAATCGCATCCCCGGGGACCTCGGCCTCGTCCCCGTCTGGCATCTTTATTGTGCTGCTTTCGCTCTTTGCCTTTCACCGGATCATTTCACGATCACTTTCCCCCACGGGGCCATCCACCGCCCGGCTCTCAGCCAGATCCTCCCTGCGCGTCAGACTTGAAAACACCCCCCACCCCATTTCCCTCCTCCACCTTGGGAAACAAAGGAATTGTCCCCAATGCCATCCAAGAACTCAGACGCTCCGTGTTGTCTTCTGGAGGGTTCAAAGTCCCTGATTCCCATCAGGTCTAGTGCTTTGAATACATCTGTTATTGGCTCTAAAAATGTCTCGTCTGCCTCCTCATTTGGTGGCCTGTAGCTAGACGTGGGAGGATTGATCAGCAAACCTTGGTAGACGTCAATTTCCTAGTCAATTTCCCCACACATGCCTGGGCCCATGAAGAACTACCTCCATGGCTATTCATTGCGGTTTCCAGCTAGGCCTAGTCAGCACCGCGCTGCTGGAGGACTTGGTCGGGTTTGATAAGTCGCGGCGTATATTTCAACGTGTGCTGGTGACAAATGGCGCTATAAAGCGTTCACGTTTTGAATCTCAGCGTCTGCCGTCGTTAAATCATTAACCCTCCCCGTTGTCTGACTGCCCCCCATAAGTTCCCACAATGGTTAAAAGGTAAATAGATAAAAACAGGGGAGGGGAGGAGAAGAAATGTTGATACAATCTGCTAACATTAAAACTAAATAGAGCAGAGCCCTACCACGACATTGGCCCTGGTTTCCACTTCCCCGTTTTATCTTCACCCAGAGAGAATTTCGGCATCTCTGCCCCTCTCCAAGCTTCAGATCTCAGAGCAAGTGTACACGTTCTTGAGATACAGTTCAGCATTTCCCCCCTTCTTGCACTGCCTGACCTTCCTCGACCAGCTGTACCCCTCGATTCCGCTATTCCAGCCGGCTGCTCTCACCCTCACGTCTCTGCAATGCCGGCTGAGTCAAGGAGGGTCAGAGAAAACTCGTGGGAATGATTAAAGGATGAGAAAACCGGTTGGAGAGTGACAGACTCCAGGAGCTCAGTCAAAGAGACAGTTCAGGGCTGCCTTGATCCCTGGCTAGAAGTACCTACAAAAGGAACAAATATTTAACAACCTAGCAGACAAAGGTCGAACCCGATCCGATGGCTGGACGTTGAAGAGATCTGCTCTCGGTGTTATTGTGCGGCAGGTCTCCGGCCCAGGTTCTACACAAGGTCAGACATGAACAAACTGCTCCCTTCTAGCCTGGGAAGTTGTGACTCTCGGCAGGGCCGGTGCTACCATTTCGGCAAACTAGGCGGTTGCCTAGGGCGCCAAGATTTGGGGGTGCCAAAAAGCAGGGCCCCCAATTTTTTTTACAGCATTCCTACGCCCCCTCCCCGAGCACGCGGTCGCCGCTCCACTTCTCCTGCCTCCCAGGCTTGCAGCGCCAATCAGCTGTTTGGCGCCGCAAGCCTGGGAGGGGAGGCGAATTAGAGCGGGGGCGGCGTGCTCGGGGAGGAGGCGGAGCAGAGGTGAGCTGGGGTGGGAAGCTGCCGCACGGCTCCCCGGGTGGGGGGAGCTGCCACAGGCGGGGGTCGCCTCAGGGCGGAGGGGGGGTGGGGAGCTGCCGCAGGGGCGTGCAAGGTGGAAGTTTCGCCTAGGGCGCGAAACTTCCTTGCACCAGCCCTGACTCTCGGCTCTGCAAGAGGCTGGATTTGATGTTTGAGTCTTGTCTCTGTACGTCCCCTAGAGCCGGGCAAAGGCCCGGCGTCCGGGCTCGCTGTCAGGTCTGAAAACCTGCGGGGTGAAGCAGTCACCCTGGGTCAGTCCATATTCTTTATGAAAATAGGCTTATGATATCAATATGCCCTAACTGAGATGTACTTTATGCCAGATGGCGCATGTGAGAGATCATTGGAAAGGTGACGATTTACTGAATGCAATTCTTCTCTTTGTACGCCTGGATCCTGTCTGTATCTGAAGTTAGGAAGATTGACTCTGTATCTGTATTTCAGCTCGGTTCTGTAAAAGAGCTGAGTCTTTCTGTGGGTCAGCCTGTGAAGAATGGCTACAGGAAGGGTGACCACATGTCCCGATTTTATAGGGACAGTCCCGATTTTTAGGTCTTTTTCTTCTATAGGCTCCTATTACCCCCCATCCCAATTTTTCACACTTGCTGTCTGGTCACCCTAGCTACAAGGGCCCTACAGAGTCAGGTGGTCTTGTCACCTGATACTAAAACACTACCTGGGATTTCTTGTAACTTTCCACTGTAAGGGAAGGGGAGTCAAACTAGGGAACAGAGGACTCCGGCCTTATGCAAATCCGAGTTAAGGGTGGGCAGTGAGTTCTCAGTTCTCCCCGGCTACCCCACCCAAGGTGACTGCTGGAAACAACTAAGACTGAACAGGGGGGAAGAACGGGGCCCAGGCTGGAAGGGCGTCTGGCCGGTGAAGATGATCATTAGAAGCACATTTAGGGTGAGAACTTACGTGTAACCAGTTTCGTTAGTGTATGAAGCTTAGGTTGCAAGCTCTGCTTTATTTTCTTAGGTTTCAGAGTAGCAGCCGTGTTAGTCTGTATCCGCAAAAAGAAGAACAGGAGTACTTGTGGCACCTTAGAGACTAACAAATTTATTAGAGCATAAGCTTTCGTGGACTACAGCCCACTTCTTCGGATGCATATAGAATGGAACATATATTGAGGAGATATATATACACACATACAGAGAGCATAAACAGGTGGAAGTTGTCTTACCAACTCTGAGAGGCCAATTAATTAAGAGAAAAAAAACTTTTGAAGTGATAATCAAGCTAGCCCAGTACAGACAGTTTGATAAGAAGTGTGAGAATACTTACAAGGGGAGATAGATTCAATGTTTGTAATGGCTCAGCCATTCCCAATCCTTATTCAAACCGGAGTTGATTGTGTCTAGTTTGCATATCAATACTAGCTCAGCAGTCTCTCCTTGGAGTCTGTTTTTGAAGTTTTTCTGTTGTAATATAAGGTTTCAGAGTAGCAGCCGTGTTAGTCTGTATCCGCAAAAAGAAGAACAGGAGTACTTGTGGCATCATCTCAGGCATTGGCACCCTAACATCAGGCTTGTCTGGTTATGTAGACTCTCTCCTCAGACCCTACG